GGCGGCGGGGGGGGGGGAGGCTGCCTGGCACAAAAAGGCGACGAGGTCTTTCCTCTGGTAGTTTTTATTGGCGATGCGGAACTCCGTCTTTAAATAAGCTTGAGTTCGCGTTACCAGCGCGCGCTTCGGATCATATATATTAATTAATATAGACAGAGAGATATACTTCGACACAGCACGAAACGTAACAGAAACAAAATGTGCTATAGGTACACATTTGCATTTCTCATAAATCTATGCTATATTATAAAAATAAAAGCATCGCTAAAATATTTTTATGTCTTCCGCAACTCGTACACCAGAAGTTCGGCTGTACTGCCACAACCACGTCCTGCTTAACTACAGATGGCACGAGGCCTTTGGCAGCACTCAGAGGGGTGAGGTTGGGTTCTTACACGCTTAAACCACCGCTCTTTTGAAGTCAAGTTGCTTTTTGCTTTTGTAAATATAGAAGTTGACAAAAAAATCAGCTTTTTAATCTCTACGTCCCAGTACTGTGTGTATGTGGGTGTACACCTACAGAGAGAGTGAAACAATTACCACCTTGAAATTCTCTCACAGGGGGTTTGCATCTCCCGGCTCCCACCAAGAGGTCTCATTAAATCATTGCCACTTGTTACCTTAATGTAATTACACTTAGTCTGTCAATTGAGATTTTCTCCCTTTTTATAATGAACAATCTATTCCATCATTTTCTGGTTGTAAACACTTTAAAAGCTTCACATTTGATTTCCATAAGTGCATGTGCACAGATTGTATATTTTTGAACTTCAGAGGAGAACTTCATTTGTATAATACAAATACTTTTAAATAGGTACCCAAGAAAACTACCTGTTTCCTGAAATCCTTAATAGATGCAGCTGCAGCACAGGATCATACCACACAGGTGTAGGGGATTCTGTTAACTGAGAAGAAGCACAGCCCCTTATGAAGCTCCTGCTGGCAAAGGGAGAAGTTTGTAATGCCCTGTGCTGTGAATTTTATCCATCTGTGATTTAATCAGGACTCTCCAATTTAAACATACCTAAACTGAGTCTGAAGTTTCTTGAACAAAGTCAGGTACTTTGCAGATACTACTTTTAGCATGGGTAATGGCTAAGGTTAAGCATGTACACAAATGCCTTCCTCTGGAGGGAGTGAGTTCACTAAGCTGCTCATTTCAGGCATTCAGGCTGAACACTAAAACCAGATCAGTAAGTATCTAAGATAAAGCATGAAATGGTTAGCTAAATAAATAGGAAGTATGGGTGGTCACTGGCTTCTTTCTCGAGTAAAAATGTGGTATTTTCTACCACCAGTATTTTCCAGTGTTGGAGAATCCAGAACACCTGTTATGGCAGCTGTAGACAAGTAAGGGGCTCTTAATCATAAATTGGTATAAAATTTCAGGTGTCGTAGTTTCTGTCTGAGTTCTCAGTGACTGTGCGTTAAGCACAGTGTCTGAGCTACTGTTAAAAGTCCAGCCAAAAAATGTAAAATGAAAACACAGGTAATATTTGCAAATAAATATCAGTACCTATGGAACTAGGAATACAAAATAAATTACACATTTCATTAGAAGCAAATTAATAAATAATCAAATAACTATTCACAGCATTTTTATACACTTAAAATATGGTTATAATTTTAAACATATAATTCTATTAAAAAATCTTGAGATTGTAGTGCTACATTTATGTTAAAAATGCAGAATGCCTTTGTAGTAACATGAAACAGAACAAAGCAAAATTACTGGGAATTTTTCAAAGTAATTTTCATAATTATAGTATGGGAACAATTTAAAGTCATATTTGAACCGTATATTCATCAGTGAACATTTGGTTTGACTAACAGTTTTCTTGATTTTTTTTTTTTTAAATTTTTTTACATTTGAACTTTAGGGCAGCTTTTATACCATAATATTATTTATATAACCTCACAATAGATTTAATCTTTGGCTTGAACCACAGCTCATGGAGTAATAAAACATACATATTTTTAAATGAACTCATTAACCTTAAAAAAATGAGCCCAGCTCTCAATCGCTGTAAATCATCACAGTTGATTAGCTCCAACATAGCTGACTTGCTCCAATTGATTATCAGGCCCACTGTGCTTTCATATATGGGGTCGTGGATAGCCTTTATCCAGCAGACTGCTTAATTGCATGTATGCAACTCCAAAGAGGCACTAAAATAAGCATGGACATATATAATCTACTGAATCTGTATCTAGAGTTCCTAGACAGAAATGTACCTGCGCTTCTAGTTTATTTAATAAACCTATTCTCCTGCTTTTAGGCTTGAGAGAGCTTAAGCATGTGATTGTTCAGTCTGCAAAAGAAGAAGAAATGTTTCCGCTTCTCCACAGGCAGGTGTGCTCCAGCTTGCCTAGCAAGGGGTCTGCACGGGAGTTAGTAAGTGTCTTTAGTCATTAAATTGTATTCTAACAGTGATGACTGAACACCTCTAAGCAAGGCAACATATTTCAGCTTGAGAGAAGGTAACTGAAAATATCAGTCCTTGGAAGGATTTGTAGGGAACAAAAGAGATAATAAGAAAACCCTCAGGATAACACTTTCAGAATATGGGAATTACCAGATACTATATTATTTTCCTCATTGCATTTACTGTATATTGCAGAATATGATACCCTACCTCTACTATTAAAAAATACAAAATATAAATCCCTCCCAAATGGGATTATGCAAAGCTGATATGAGTACTCTTAAACTGGTATTTATAGCTCTAGCTTGGAGACTTCCTTATATTGCAAGTTTGCCTCTTCATTCCAGTTACTTATTGCTCTTTGATTTTGTGTGGTTGCATACACTCTCCTGCTAGTCACAGCGACTGAATTCATTCCTGTGCAAACAAAAAAGGTCTTAAGTAGGATTGAATTGCACTTATGCTTTGTGCTTTGCCTCTCCGTCAGACTGGATTTTGCTCACTGATAAATAATTTCTATTTATTACGGACATGTCAATTTATTACAGACAAAATTCTCCCAGTTCTCTATGATGGATCTTATCACCAGTATGCTGCTTTCAGATGGGACTGTGCTGGGGCCAGTGCAAACCAGAATAAGGGCTAAATTATTTCTGCAGCATTTTTGAACTGGGGGATTGTGCAAACATTAGTATAATCTTCCTAAACTCTGTTTGTGGAAATACCCAGCAGCCACTCTTAAAAATAATCTGCTTTTCTTATGTAGGAAATAGCATGGTGGTATTAAATACTCTTCATGCATATTTTCAAGATCTAATGGCATCAGCCTATTATTTACAATGTTACTCTCAACAGTACCCATAGAGGAATTTTTTTTTTTTCTTTCTATGCAAATCTTGCAGGAATAGATGTGAATATTTTAGAACTACTTGCAGGGGATATTAATTAATTGGTGTGCCTTAGTATTTAATTTATGTCATATACAAACTTACTGATTTTTTTAGATGATAAAATGGCCTAAGTTGGTTATGGTTAGAAATGGTAGTACAACACACACTTGTATTGCTTCCTCCTTCATTTCAGCCAGTATGACCAAACCTTTTTTGCTGACTCTCAAGCAAGAAATGGTAGCTGTAGTACTTACAGGGTTTTAAATGTTGGCAACAATGTAAAACAAATGACATTTTGGTTCTACACTAATATATTACTAGTACTACCTTGCCTTTGAACAACTATGTCATTGTTTCTTCATCAGGTGAATTCAGGAGAATAATTCCCACAGCCTCTTAGAGTTTGCGGTCACTCTGCAGCTGTGTGGCTGCTTCTTGTTTAGCAAGTGGCTTTGCCATTGTAGAGTTGCATTTGCTGCACAGATCTCTCATTTCTAGGAGACTTTCTTCCACAGCTTTTGCAAACATGTCTGAGGAGGTTTCTTTGCAGTCTTTAAAGCTTGAGATGCAGAATAATACATGCTCTGGCTGAGGGTTATAACATGCCCCATAACCATTGGGCACGACTGGCCCATAGCAGCAGAACATTTCCGTTGTAGTTGGAACCTGGTTGCAGGGAGAAGGTAAGGAGTGATCTCTGATTAATCAGGGCACCTGAAATCAGCTGCTTAGGAATGAGGAAAAAGATAAACAAATGCTACTAATGCTGGAAATGTGGTGAATCCCCCTTGTAGAATATCACTTCCTTCAGAAGTCCAGACCTGGAGCTGATACTTGGAAGGTAAAAAGCTGATCTTGGTATAGAATTTGGTTGCTCTGTTTGTTTGCCCGTGTTTGAAAACTGGTATCATTTGAAGCGGATATAATGTATTTCTTTGCCCACTTTATATATGTTACTGATAGATAGGGATCTTTTAAGGCTGTACGTAATTATGATACATAAAATTTTGCTATGGTTTTTAATTTCTTAAGGTTCTATTAAACTTGTAATGTGAAGACTGTAATCAATTATAGAAAGTAGTATTGTCCATGTCTAATAATCATTTATAATCATGATGCTGTATAAAAGTGTATTTTAATACATCTAGCTGTTATATTTCTATTACACC